AACAAAACAGGTTAAAAATAAAGCACTCAACAACTAAAAAAACTCCATAAAATAGGGCAGACTATAAACCAGTGGGAAAGGTTGCAAGGAAGACTGTTTAAAGAACATAAGATTTTAGGGACTAAAAGAAAATCTTGCCTTTCCTTCAGGTGCTGGAAGAGAATTTCCTTAAACTACTTTTTTTTTTGTGCTTTAGTTTAGTTTTCAAGCATGAAGCAAGCAGTAGGCTATTCAAGCATTTAGTTCATCTCCAAGAAAATTTTCTTAGTAATAGTCCATTCTGTTGACATAACACCCAGAGACATGAGATCAATAAAGTGTTCCCAGATAATGACACAACTTCAATATAGCTGAGTTGAAAGTAATGGTTCTAAGGCTGATACGTCTCATGCCAGCTGCTGTAAAAAAGCCAAATTAATACCCTTTTGTATTTGTTCTCCTTCCTCACTCCAGGGTTTTGTAAAATTTTTGTTGCAGACTCTGGAGCTGTGGAGTGTCTGAGTCTGCTAAATACATTTCCCCAAGCCCAAGAGACTCCTTGAACAGTACCTGCTGTGGGCAAGACTAACACAAAGAGCTACATGTGACTATACCCTAGGAGGTCAAGAAATTCTGTAAATACTTTTCCAGACCAGAGAACTGACCCGCACAACTAAGTCACATTTCTAAACTATGAATCCATCAGATAGCTCAGCAATTCTGAATCCCAAAGGGATCAAAGTTTTACGAGCTACATTACATCCCTAGGAATTCACAATCTAAAACAGCCTGTATAGGATACATTTGCCTCTGCATTATTTCAACATATATTCCTTGAACAGGTATGAAAATCACCAATAACTTGAAGCATTGTGCTTTAAACAGGAACTAAAGTATAGCTACTGAAATTACAGAGAATAAGAAAAGCCTTTTTTCTTATTCTATGTATAAATGCATTTCTATGTAAAATGTATTCCATGTAAAATGTATTTCTTACCAGGAATCCTAAGGGGGCGGGGGGGGGAGGGTATCAAGGCAGAAAACATGTCTGTTATTACACAGATTTTGTAACATAGATGCAGCATCTTAAGACCCAAAGAAGGGCCTCCAGGCCCAAGAGCATGTTTGTGCTTTACTCTGCTAATACAGGCAGCCCAACAAAAAATACTTTCTCTCCTTGCAAAATTTACCTTCCCTAGCATCCATACTCATTCTTCTACAGCCTGACTCCCTTTCAAAAAAGCTCTTTAACAGCTCTGTTTTCACTGGGTTAATTAGTAGGAAGCAAGAGAAGCCTGTTCAACAGAATTATAACAATGACATGTAGTCTTCGTGATACGTTTTAATTCTGGATTCTCTCTACTTAACCACCTAAAAAGTAAATAAAGCATCACAGCTTTGTACTCCACTTTGCATAAAATCAATGGCACCAATGAGCCTTCTTCCAGTTCCAATGCTGCATTCGAGCCCACATTCACCTAACTGTGTGCCTGACAGGTGTGTGCTTCCCAAGTAGCCCATGGCCTCAGGAGGCTCCTGTAAACCTGCAACCCCCAAGAAATGCACTGAATGCCAAATCCCTTCTACCTTTGTACTAGGCTTTGCTCCCCAAGCCACTGATGGAACGCCTCACCCTGCAACAAGTGCAGGAACAAGAGATGTGAAGGGAAAAGCATAAAGGAAGACATGGTGCATGACATGGAGGAGCTGAAAAAGCCTGCAATTACTTGATCTACTTTTTCATTTCATATCATCAAAGTTTTGAAAGAAACATCCTCCACTGGCACCATGCTCAATTCATGGCAGTGTGAAAAGCTGAGCCAACAAACCTGCACAATTTTTATTTAAACAAGAATTATACTGCTCTGAAAAGGAATTGATAACTTTGAATAAAATGACTGAACTCACAGCTTAGATTAATACATAAAAAAGAGACAGGGATTCACATGGAGTCGGGCTTGAAGCTCAAAATATTTCAGCCATACCACTTCCCTGAAGTTCTACAAAAAGAATCTTACTTTGACTGAATTCAAAGGAAATAGATGAAGTGAAGTAGTACAGTGTCATTTTTTCTGCAGTCTAATGACTAAAGACAGACATTTAAAATATGTTCTGCTTTCAAGCATGTTTACAGCCATGAAACTGAGCACATTCCAAGGTCCTAAGTCTTCACAGGATTACAACTCACTTTTGCTATTGCATTAATTCCGCAATGGCTGTCGTGCCTCCAGAAATAGCCCAACTAGACAGGCATACTTGTGGGTGGGGGTGGGCTGATAAAAAAAATCTCACTTCAGAACCCATCACAAACAAAACAAACCTCCAATCCTAAACTTCTTCTTAAAATACACTCTTGTACAGACCTTTCATTAACTAAAGAACATTGTCTCATTTTATCACAAAGATTACTTGGCTATATATGGTTTACATAGAGTAGGGGAAGGCATACAAATTAAATTCTATCTGTCCTTGTCCATGATAAACTCTGCCATGCAAAAAATTGTCTTTTTCATAAAAAATTACCTTGGTCCCATATACAAAATGAAACCACCTCACAAGCAGATATGAAGCACTTGCAAGTTCTCCTTAGAAGCCATTAATAGTTGAGAGGTCCAGTCATCAACTTCCCAATACAGCACCCAACAAAAAGGGATCTAATTATCCTTGTTATTTAGTTAGGAATTTTATTTGTACCTGCAAAAAAAAAAAAAAAAAAAAAAAAAAAAGGCAGAATAATGGAATCTGTAAACAATAGGAGAGTTTGAAAAAATATTTCTCTCTGCCAAAAAAAATTAAAACCTCAGAGTAACTGAGACATGAATCTCTTTCCACCCATGGTCCACAGTAAAATACACATGAATCTGAAGAATGTTATCTTTAGAACTTTCCCCTGCTTCTGCCCCTTGCCTTCCACATGCATTTATCAGTTGTCAGTACATTTCAGACTGTAAATAAGCCATCATAACCTCCATATTTCTCTTTGCAACATTCAGAAATTAATCTATACATTAGGATATGAAACTCTAAAGCACTTTACGGATGAAATCTAAGAGATCATCAAACGATGCTAGGAGAGATAATAAAGACAAATTAGAAAATTTTTGAAGGATGCTAATAATCTAAGAAATAATTAGAGTGAATCTTCTTCCACTGAATAATGTCCAAACTCCCACAGATTTCAGAGACAAGGCTGAGCACACAGTGGAGAAAAATCCTTGAAATCACATGAGCTATTAAAACATTAAATATCAGCTCCCATTTATGCAAGGCAATAAAATTCAACTTGTCAATTCTGCATGTTTCAGTTCTCCAGGTATCACATGCAAAACTTAAGCAGACCACCTCCAAAAAAGCAAACAGTTCTAAGAAATGTAAAATACCAATAAAAGTTTTGACAGTATTTGTACCTCAGTAAATGTTTACTTTTGGAATATGAAAGTAAATTAAAGATTTAGACCCCAGGGAGAATTTCAGAAGCCCAAGCTTCAACAATATCTACATGAAGTAAATGTGACCAAGACCCTGATTCAGCCAAACATTTCAATATATCATTAAAATCAGACTTCTGCTGAAGTCCTTTCCTTTTTCAACAAAAGTACACAGGGCTATGTTTTAAGTGCTTTGTTGAACTGAGGCCCAAGTTCTAATTTCCTTTATTTATCTTAGATACAAAATGGCCAAAGGAAGGGGTCAAATGCTGCAATAGATAGGTTATGGGTTTAAGGACAGTGGAACTGCTGCTATGAAACGCCATGGGAAGAAAAAGAGAAGTTTAATGATGGAAGTAATGGGAGGAATTCAGATAGTTTAAGATAAAGTCTAAACAACTGCCTCAAAGTCTTCTAGCTTATTTGTCCTATCTTCTCCTTGCCTCATATAATCTTCCATCTTCCCAGCTTCTATTTTTCTAAAGTAAAATCCTAAATATTTTGTGGGCACAAAGAACAATACAAAACGATAAGCAGCAACTAGAAAAAAGTCACTGCAAGCAGCTGTAGAGAGCACCCCTGCATTGACAGGAGATGCACCAAATGATTTAATTAGATTTTCTTTTGGTCTCCAATTTCTACAAATCAACAATCTACAAATCAACTTTTGCTGTCACAATACTTGCAAATGCACCAACTCTGTGCAATACTATGTGTAGTAACTAAGGAAACAGAATTAATTTTCAAGGAGCAATAGAGAATGAGACAGGCATAGCTGCCTGCCCAAAGGCTTTTTTTTTCCCCTCTTCAGTGTAGTTCACCAGTGCCAGGATTCCACCTACAGATACTGAAACTGTAAAAATGCAGTAAAGGAAGGCTCCTTTGCAACTCAATTCATTGCCTCAGATAAAAATGAACTTTTCATGTTATAGTAGTCCAGAACCTGGAATTTTTAATAAAATACCCAAGCCCTTAACAGGGCTTGGGTAGCACTGTACAATGTCCTTTAAGTCATAACAATATAAAAGAAGGAAGTCAGGTCATTATACACGCAGCTGATGCTCTTTGATAAAGCTGGTTTGCAGAAGGTCACAGATGTGCACTTTTGTATTGCAGAGAGGATTTAACTAAGAAATGAGGAGTTTGTATTTTGGCCATCCGCAGATGTAAACACAGACTTATAAACAGAAGGACTTGCATTCTCTATTCCCTGTTCCCAGACTACCAATAAACTTATCACCAGCACTATCTGAGCTGTGTTCCTTGGAACTCCAGAATAGAACTAGATTGCGAGGATGAATTTTTGATTACCAGCATTTGAGAAGTCCTCTTCTTCAAAGCTGCTTTTGGCCTAAAACAACTTGTTTCATGTGGTAGAACAAAAATGCAGGCAATTTTCATATAGACTACAGAAACAGGGTGTGTGCAGGTGACGGGAAAGTTGCAAAAAACAAAGCAATTGCAAAGGGAAGGAAAAAACAAAACAAACAAACCCAGGACAGAAACAGTAGTTGTCACCTCTAAGGATTTATGTATTTATGCTCACATACATACATGTAAAAAAGGATGCATTCACATTTAACTCCTACCTACCTTGCACTGAATAACTTCCTGGACTCCTCCTGCAAATCAGAACTGGATACAGCAGTACCTCCATGGCCTGCTCTTAGACAGCACCTTGCACCTTCAGTTGTCCTAACATTTTAAACAGAGTCCTAGCAGAAAGGCTGAGTTTGTTGCTGAAGATACTTCCCATACCAAGGTCACCTAGATGAGCTTGTATTTCAAATGATCCATACGGCATAATAATTTTGATAAAAACTAGACAAACTGTTAGCCTCCAAAAACATTAGCCAAGGAACCAAATAGGTCAATACCAGCTAAAGGACAGGTTATTTTGCTTCTGTTTGGATTTGATTATTAACTTTCCCTAGAACAGCAAATGAAATATTATCCTGGTCTGTCCATTGGTATATTCAAATAAGATGTTTTCTATCTCCAAAACCATTTGGGAAGGGTTAGCATTAAATAACTTGAAAGTTTTCTGACAAGGTACCCAAAACTGAACTTTCTCAGAAACTTACAAAGATGACACAGCAGGATCACCCATGCAAATAAGCAGCAGAGTTCTGAGAAAGTCTTTACTCAGTACCCATGCACAGGGTTGCCTGGAATTTTTCAACTAAAGAATAAGTACCTTTCTCAGGCTACACTCAGGGTAAATATATGCAAGATAGCTAGAAGATGTCTGTCCTGTCACTGAAATGCAAACATCTTAATCTTAGTCTTCATACCTACAGACAATACCCCCAAATAAGTAACTTGCCTTATTGTTAGCATTATGTTCAATATGACAAAACACACTAAAGGCAGGCAGAGAATGGCTTAAGGTGCAGAGATGAAGACTAAAATTCAAATGCTGCAAATAAATTAATTGTGGATGCACCTACTAGTTCAATAGTGAAGAATGCCTTTCAATGGTCTAATTTACCCACCAACATAAAAGAAGTTTGTTTCACTGACTCCTGTTATCCCTTAGTGGATTTTCAGTAACAAATTTTGTACCTATTTCCAGTATTTCTTCCATCTGTCATCAGTGTTTATTCAGGGTGTACACTAAAGGATGGGGAATACAAGCAATACATTTTAAGTTCTTCAATCTAAATCCTATTTTTTTGCTTTCTGCCTCTTTCCTAAATATTAAAACAAACAACTAATTTCTTCAAGACCTTCTTACTAAAAATAGTTGGTTGGACTGCTTATTGTGTTAGCTGAAACACAAACATATGAAAAAGGAAAGGGGTTTGTAGAAAAAACATTGAAGAGAAAAAAAAAATCAGATTTCATCTGGCCTTCCCATCATCACTTAAGAGAATTGTTTTGTAGTTACATCATCAGGAAATAAAATACTATCCTCCAAGGACCCCGACTCTTTACAGAAGGAAAAAAAAAAAGGAAGGCTCAAAGTTCATATTCCCCCCCAGAGGAGCTCAGCTAAAGTTGCATTTTTTGTCATAATAAAATTAAAAGAAAAAAAATTAAAAAAACACAACAGAAAAAGCTCCCTTAGAACAACTAATTAAACAAGATGACTTGGAATTTAGATTTTCCGTTTTCAAACTCTAGGCTGTGGGACTAAGTGGAAAACATTGTACCTAATCAGTAACAACTTAAAACTACTTTATTATCAGTGCTAGAGAGGAACTGCCCTAACCCAAACCTTCCGCACATTCTTCTTGGCCCTGAGCTGGAGGACAAACGCAATGTTCCACACAGCGCGGGGCTCGGCCGGAGCCAGCACCCGGGGCCGAGCTGCCAAGGGCGAGCCGGCTGCCCAGGGCCCGGCTGCCCAGAGGCGGCAGGGCCCGGCTGCCCAGAGGTGGCAGGGCCGATCTGCCCAGGCGGCGGCCGCACCGGAGCGCACCGGGCAGCGCGGCGGGGCTGCACCGCGCCTTATATGGCAAGGCGCTGACGTAATGGTGCATAGGCTCGGGCCGCCCGCGCGCCCATCCCTCATTGTTCCGCGGGAGCGCTGGAATGCTCGCAGCAGCCCCGATGCCACCGCGCAGCGCCCGCGCTCCGCAGCACCGGCTCACCCGGGATTGCTATAGCCCGCCAGCGCAAGGTAAGGCAGAGGGTGGGAAGCAAGCTTCTTCTGGCAAGCACTGGCGCTTCTGGCTTTTTCCTGTTGAGATACCTTTTTTATTTTTTTTTTTTTTAAAGTCACTTCCAAAGAAAAAAAAAAGAGGGGTGAGGAACTGAGAAACAATGAAATACCCCAAAACAGCACCAGGAGATCTAGAAGATGTCTGGTGAATCATACATAGGGTGACTATTTCAAGCGTTAAAAACTGTCTTTAAAACAATTCCTGCAGAGGCAACAGGCGAGGAATTAATTTAACATTAAAGAAGGAGAGAGTTATGAATTACACACACTTTCCAAATGGTCGGATAAAATCATGACTGCATTTAAAGCTGTGGAAGGAGTCCAACAGTATTGTAATATATTAGGTAGAGCTACTGCCTCTCTTTCTGCTGCATTTACGTGCATATGCTATATATTAGCAGGCATGTACACACACATGTCTCTAAGCATTTACTCTACTTTTGAAAAACTTCTACTGTAGTTTTCAGAGCGATGTATAAATTTCCACACATATTACTTTGCAATAAGACTATGCTATGCCTAAAAGAAAGAATTGCAACTAGTTTAATTGCTAACAAACTTTTCAACTCATACACACTGCTTCCCTCTTCTGTGTCTTGCGTGCAAGTGTCAAATCACAAGAGGGCAGAACTGTCAGATTTTTATGAAAGAAAACTTTTAATCCTCGTCAAACACATGATGAGTGTGAGGATCAGAAAGCACGCTGCTCTCTTCAAGGCTTGTTCTGCAAGATGTTCAACAGTATTGCAGCTATTAACTACAGAAAACAGGGAACGATTAACAGCTCTGACGAGGCACAAAGCACCTTGAAAGATTAGACTTCGGTGTGTTTATAATTCACACCTGCGTAGTATGCAAAATTACACTGTCCTCTCCGTTAATTAAGGGCCAAACCCTGTCAAATCTTTGTTCATAGGAACAACTGCAGTTAAGTCAATTGTACTGTCCTACCTGCAAATTAGAACTACTGAGCACTGCTCTTCAGAGTCCTACGTGTAATTTAAAATGTTAGAAAAGTTAGACATTATGACCTTGAATTTTGAACTCTTCTTACAGGTAAAACACATTTTTGGTATGTTCTCCTTTTCCTTAGTACAAAAATAAATGCAATTTTAGGAGAGAAGTAAGGGTTCTTTTTCCAATTATTTGATGTTTTAAATCCTGCAAAATCCTCGTTCAATTATATATTTAGGACAAAGCTGGTACTAACAGATGCATTGTTGTAGTATCACACATACATGGATTTAGAGGATGAGCCAAAATATCTTGTGTGAAATTTTTCATAACTTTTTTTTGGCTTTAAACATGGAGAAAATATGAAGCAGTTATTTTTAACATACTCCTAAAAATGTAAACATAAAGAGACATTTAATTTCAAATCTAATTCAGGTATTTGTGTATTATTAACCTGGCAAATGGATAAAAGTCACATCCATGTTTCCCACCTATTCTTTTTTGTAACAAGCAAAGTTTATACCTCTGTTGAGAGAATCTGGGAAGAGGGCACTGTATAGTGTACATATAGAATGAAAAGAATCCTAGCAGCCAGAACAAATGTAATTTCACAGTACAAAAACAATATCCCATATCAGTATCCTGACCTCCTTAAAAAGTCTTCTGCTCACTATTCTGTCATATGTGCAGAGTCCTTGCAGTTTAAAAATGACTACTTAGTTTTCTAAATATCCAGTGTGAAGTTATAGAGTAGAAAACTTAGCTAGGTTGTGAACAGATGTGTTAGGAACCAAAGTTAAGTGACAGTCTTCAAAAATAGTATCTGAGTAGAAAGGACGAGCTGAAGAAGTCGAAAGACTACAATATGGCAAAGAAAAAATATTAACAGGAATGCCATGCATGCAATAAATTTGACAAAAACACTAAGCAGAAAAAAGAAAAATGTCTCCCCATAGGTACGAGACAATTTAAATCCAAATCCAACAAAGAAGGGTGACTTCTATCACTGATTACTGCTTTAGCAGTATCTAAAGTACCATCTGTACTCTGAATACTGCTCTCCTAAAACAAATCATAACATCTATCAAAAGCCAGAATTCTACTTCTCATAGTCTGTCTTTCTCAGATTAAAAAGAAAACATTCCTTACTTAATACTTACAGAGCCAATTTTGCTCTCATTTATACTCGTAAAACTCCAGAATAATTAGATGGAGGTACAATGATTAAACTGTCTCACTGCTGTTTCCCCCCCCACCACCACCTCTCTATTACACTCCTTTATTAGATCAGATTTCTTAACATGTTTTGGGTATTAATGGATTGGTATTCCTAATTTTAAGCGATTAAATGCTAGTTTCTATTAAAAGTAAAAGGACAGTGAAAGAAAAGAATCATCACATAACTCAGTCTTAAATAATTGTATTTCTTCATCTAAATTTTTTATAGTAATTTTTCACAACATCCAATGTGAAAAGATTTTAAGAACAAATATATCCTCCAGAAATGAAAGTCAAGTTCCTATCAAAATGCATTGACCCTTTGTTCCTTTCCCGTCACTTCCCTTTCCTCCACTGACAAACATCTGCTGACAGCAGAATTTTTAGAGATTTGATCCAGAGGACAAAGGATAGTTTCTATTCCCCATCACTAGTAAAATCAAATTATTTCTTGATTTGTGCTGAGCAACAGAATTTTCATACTATTTACCTTATACTATGATGAATTACCAATTTTGCGCTTGTTGTGGCATTAAAAAAAAAAAAAAAGCCTGGTTTTACTCCTGGTGAGTTACCCCTCTGTGGCAGATCTTAAAAAACTGCTACTTTTCTTCAGGAGAAATTCTTTACCACATGTAAACATGGCAAGGGCAACTAAGCTACTACAGCTCCTCTGGACCTCTCGTATGAGCAGCTGTTCTCAAATCCTGGCTGCGGTACTACCTGAATAAAGTTCATTTAAAAAGCAATTAAAATATCTAAGTCAGAGAATCCTAAGGAGTTTACAATGTAGGAAGACATATCTTTAAAAACCATTGTATATAACTGTAGCTCTGTCTCATTAATTGTTTCCCTCAACACTTTCTCTTGTCACCAAGTTGATTTGAACTTAGAAACTGTGTCTTAGTAATAATTTTTAATTGCTTAGGGTTTTTGTTTCATACGTAATAGATTCTGCCATGGCACCCTTAGGGTTTAGGTTGAGCTTCTTGATATAGTTGAAAGCTTGGTTAGTTCAACCATTCACTAAACTGTATTACTCAGCTCCAAGAAGGTAAAAATCACTGCTGAAAAATTCTAAATATAGTCCCCAGTCTTGTGATTTAAGTAATGGATACTTTGACTCTTAACACCTCTCAGTACATTATGCTGATTTTGAGGTTTGCTGTGTTTTCTGTCAGCAAGACAAAAATCACTTTGACTGCATGTCCAGTGCACCATGATGTTCCTGAAGTTCAGTAGCTGCGCTCACTCCGATGCACCAGTGGTGCATTCTCAGGCAGTTACAGCTCATCCAGAGTGTTCACAACCTCTAACAGGATGTCTTTGAAGATTTTCTGAGGCAGTCTGTACCCACCAGTTAAAAACAGTACAAAAACACCTCCCAAAGCAGTTCCTCGCCAGGGCTGATGTGACTGTGAAGAGGTGAATGTTCATGCAGACAATGAATCCTGGCTGAACACCCAGCAACACCATCATAGAACCATCCTTTAGCAGCAGTAGGGAAATATTGGGGGTGAAAGTTCAACTCAGCTTTGCTACACAACATTTCTACACAACTCAAGATCGTAACCTTGGTCATTCAAGCTGATAAATGTGTGGACTTTTTGCCTGTTGCAGAAGTCACGCCTGCTGCTGCAGCTCATCATGCACATGATGATGATGATGTAACACAGCTGCTCGACTTCAGCCTCAGGCTGGGCAGGTGACCACCAGAGAGTGGCTGCTGAGGCAAAGCAGCAGAACTTGAGCCATTGTGCTTCATACTGCTTGCTCTAAGAAGCTGAGAAACCAGAGCCTGCAACCACCACTGCTCATGCCCAAACTCCCCAAAGCTTTACAGACGTACATCAGGAAGGGTACACAAAGCTCTAGTGAACATGACTGAAAACGTGGATGGGAAAAAAATCCACTCTTGACAAGAAAAACACTCATCTTGCATACATGTCAGGGATGTGAAACAACAAACATCTGACTTCATTATGCTTTATAGATTTCCAAAGGTCTGGGAAGCAACACAACAATTGCACTTAAATGATGGATAGAGTTCCTAAAATCTGCCTTAAACCTAATATTCAAAGCATTTTCTTTAAAATTCATTGCAGACAGCTGATTTAAAACTTTGTCTTTTTTTATGAGAGACATAAAGCTTATCTAGTGTTTGCATAGCAACTATCGCAATGACAGAGTGAGGGAATGAAGAAAAACTTTAAAAACTGAAATGAAGCAGCATGAAGCTACTGCCATAAAAAAACCACATAAAACTGGCTGCTTAAAAATAGAAAGTAATGCACTCATAAAACATTTTAATTACACACTGAATTTTAGCAATTGGACAAAACTATCTCAGAATTAAATTTAAGCTGACTGAATTCTGTCAGCTTTCAATGGATTTAATATTTTTTTTGGTACAATTTATACAGCTTTCAGTCAGTAAGTCTAATTATGAAGAAAATAGATTTTAAAATTTTATCACATTTAAGTTTGGCCTACCTGAAACTAACATCACCCATCACATTCCCAAACATAATTCTATTCTACTTAGCCACAAAGAGGTTTCTCAGAAGAAGCCTAGTAAATGCCACAGTTGTTTTTGTTTTCAACTTCAAAATGCTACCCCTTGGTCAAGCACATTCTACACCTCAGAAAAGCCATTCTGTTACTAAAAACATATCATACCAAAAAAAAGAGCAGCCAATCCCTAATCTAAATACCTGAAAACCAGCATTGAACACACTAACCTGGATGTAGGAAGGTGTGGGGAAAAAAATGCAGTGGTCAAGTGT